ATTTAAGAGGCAAGGAGGGGGAGTGAAGAGATACAGGGACACACACACACACACACCCATACACCCACCCACACACACACACATGTAACAGAGAGTCCTCATGGGTTGGTTCACTCCCCAAATAGGCACAGTGGGTAGCACTAGGCTGAACAGAAGTTGGGATCTGGGAATTCAATCCATGCTCCCACATAGGTGACAGGAATCTAACAATTGAGCCATCTTAGCCATCTCTCAGATCTGCATTAGCAGGAAGCTGGAGTCAAGGCCTGGAGCCAGGGATTGGAACTGGGCACTCCAGTGTGGGATGTGGGCATCTTAATTGTAGGCCAAATGCCTGCCCCATAGCTGCCATCATTATCTCTGTTAATTAGTGGTTAGTGAATTTTATTCTTCCTATAAGTAAATATTGAGTTACTGAAATATTGTGTGCTAGATATCTGTTAGGTTCTGGTAATACAGCAGTTCAGGACTCAAGTGTATCTTGATGGATTAGTGTATTTTCCCCATCGAGTATTTTACTGTTTAAGGGGCACTCTTTTACAAACTCTTGAATTTATATTGTTATTATTTGCACTGTCATGTTTTCCACATTCAAAACAGTAGCTGGCTTGTTTATATTTTCCTAAAACATCCATGTAACTAGATCTTAAAATTTATTTGTGTGTATTTCACACAATTTTCTAAAAAAAAAAAAAAACTCTTGTGATTTGTTCTTTTGATAGCTCCCAGTGCTGTGCCTCTGTATTTGCATTTCTTTTTCTATCTTGCTTAAGTTTGCCATATATTTGTATATAGGTTGTTAATTTAGGCAAAGAATGAGCTTTTTCTTATGTCCATTTTTTATTTTGGGATTGTGGGAGATGGGAGAGAGGTATGCTATTCTTGACTCTATATTTTTCCTTCATAGTGCCTTTTTTAAAAAAAGATTTATTTTATTTATTTGAAAGACAGAGTTACAGAGAGAGTTAGAGTCACAGAGAGAGGTCTTCCATCTGCTGGTTCACTCCCCAGTTGGCAACAATGGCCAGAGCTGCGCTGATACGAAGCCAGGAGGCAGGAGCTTCTTCCAGGTCTCCCATGTGGGTGCAAGGGCCTAAGGACTTGGGCCATCTATCCAGCCGAGAGCTGGATAGGAAGAGGAGCATTGAACTGATGCCATTATGGGATGCTGGTGCTTCAGGCCAAGGTTTTAACCTGCTGCTCCATAGTACCTTCATAGTACCTTTAAAAAAAAGATTCTTTTATGTATTTAAAAGACAGATTTTCAGAGAGAGAGAGAGAGAGAGAGAGAGAGAGAGAGAGAGAGAGAGAGATTGATTTTCCATCTGCTGGTTCACTCCCCAAATGGCTGCAGTGGCTGGACCAGGCTGAAGTCAGAAGTCAGGAGCTTCATCTGGGTCTCCAACTTGGGTGCAGGGGCCCAGATACTTGGACAGTCTTCTGCTTCTTTCACAGGCACATTAGCAAGGAGCAGGATTGGACGTGGAACATCAAGGCCTCATATGGGATGCCAGCATGGCAGGTGGTGGCTTAACCTATTGTGCCACAGTGCCAGCCCCTTCATAGTGTCTTTTGTTGGATTCTAATTTATCTATTTTCCTTCTTTTTATCTTCAAATACATGAAATTATAATTTTATTCTTACTAATTTGCCTAATGCCTGTAAAGTTTGATATATAGAATGCTCAACTGTATTTTCTAAATATATTTTAAGTTTAAATGTGACTTTTCCTTTTTTAAAAAAATATTGAGAGAAAGAAAGAGAGAGGGAGAGGGAGAGAGAGAGAGAAATATGAACCATTGGTTCACTACCTAAATGGTTGCAAAAGCCGGGTCTGGACCAGGCTGAAGCCAGGATCCTGAAACTCCATCCATGTCTCCTATATGAGTGACAGGGACCCAAGTAGTTGGGTCATCATTTGCTGCCTTCCCAGACACATTAGCGAAAAGCTTAATTGGAAGAGGAGCAAGTAGGATTTGACTGGTGTTCTTTTTTTCTTTTTAAGATTTTATTTGAAAATCAGAGTTATACAGAGAGAGGAGAGGCAGAAAGAGAGGTCTTCCATCTGCTGGTTCACTCCCCAGTTGGCAACAATGGCTGGAGCTGTGCTGATCCAAAGCCAGGAGCCAGGAGTTTCTTCCAGGTCTCCCACGTGGGTGCAGGGGCCCAAAGACTTGGACCATCTTCTACTGGTATCCCAGGCCAAAGCAGAGAGCTGGATTGGAAGTGGAGAAGGCAGGACTCGAACTGGTGCCCATACGGAGTGCTGGCTACAATGCCGGGCTCCCAAACCACTTTTGTGTGTGTGTGTGTGTGTGTGTGTGTATATACTTCTGCATATGGGAAAATGTAATGTTTTTTCTTTTCTCTCCTATCCTAGATGTAAATTATATTAGTGATAAAACTCTTTTTTCTTTTCTAATAAATGCAATAGTTGTGTGTTTGTGGTGATGCTAGTGTTAATAAAGCTACTACAGTGTAGCCAATTGTATAAAAGCATAACATATAATTATGTACTGTACATAATGCTTGGCAATGGTAATAAGTGGCGTGTTACTGGTTTATGTATTTACTTTAGGTTTTATAATTATTTCAACCTCTACTCCTTGTATTTCTAAAAAAGCCTACTTTTTTTTTTTAACTTTTATTTAATGAATATAAATTTCCAAGTACGGCTTATGGATTACAATGGCTTCCCCCCATAACGTCCCTCCCACCCGCAACCCTCCCCTTTCCCACTCCCTCTCCCCTTCCATTCACATCAAGATTCATTTTCGATTATCTTAATATACAGAAGATCAGTTTAGCATACATTAAGGATTTCAACAGTTTGCTCCCACACAGAAACATAAAGTGAAAAATAATAGATGATTTTTTAAATAATGATGAAATCAGATCAAACCTATTGTCATGTTTAATCCCAGTGAGAGTCAGGTTGGGAATTGATAATTTCTTCTTCTTCTTTTTTTTTTTTTAACAGAAGATCAGTTTAGTATACATTAAGTAAAGCTTTCAACAGTTTGCACCCCCATAAGAACACAAAGTGAAATATACTGTTTGAGTACTCGTTATAGCATTAAGTCTCAATGTACAGCACATTAAGGACAGAGATCCTACATGAGGAGTAAGTGCACAGTGACTCCTGTTGTTGACTTTACAAATTGACACTCCTGTTTATGGCATCAGTAATCTCCCTATGCACCAGTCATGAGTTTCCAAGGCTATGAAAGCCCCTTGAGTTCTCCGACTCTTATCTTGTTTAGACAAGGTCATAGTCAAAGTGGAGGTTCTCTCCTCCCTTCAGAGAAAGGTACCTCCTTCTTTGAAGACCTGTTCTTTCCACTGGGATCTCACTCACAGAGATCTTTCATTTAGGGTCCCCCCCCCCCTCCCCACTAGAGTGTCTTGGCTTTCCATGCCTGAAATACTCTCATGGGCTTTTCAGCCAGATCCACATGCCTTTAGGGCTGATTCTGAGGCCAGAGTGCTGTTTAGGACATCTGCCATTCTATGAGTCTGCTGAGTATCTGCTTCCCATGTTGGATCACTCTCCCCTTTATTTATTCTATCAGTTAGTATTAGCAGGTACTAGACTTGTTTATGTGCTCCCTTTGACTCTTAGTCCTTTCATTATGATCAATTGTGAACTGAAATTGATCACTTGGACTAGTGAGATGGCATTGGTACATGCCACCTTGATGGGATTAAATTGGAGTCCCCTGGTATGTTTCTAACTCTACCATTTGGGGCAAGTCAGCTTGAGCATGTCCCAAATTGTACATCTCATCCCTCTCTTATTCCCACTCTTTTGTTTAACAGGGATCACATTTCAGTTAAATTTCAACACTTAAGAATAACTGTGTATTAATTACAGAATTAAACCAGTCATATTAAGTAGAACAGACAAAAAAAACTACTAAGAGGGATAATGTATTAAGTTGTTCATTAACAGTCAGGGCTATGCTGATCAAGTCACCATTTCTCCTACTTTTGAATACTATGCTGTGTCATACCTTGTGTTTTTGTGCCCACTGATGCAATTAGGAGGCCACATGGACTGACTGACCTCTACCATGTAGGTTTGAGTGTGTACGCTTTATGGTGTTCACTCCATGATGAAATTGCCTAATGACAAAGCTCAGAATGAAGTCTTGGCTTTACATGCTGGGAGATTTTACACTTTTTATTAGATTTCTTTCCAGGTTTTCAGCTGGAGGTTTGCTTGATTGGTCAAAGAAAAATCATTGCTTCTCAGTTTTCTTAACTTTTTCCTATCTTAAAGATAGGAGCATTGGCCTCTGGCTCTTCACATGTTGCCGCTGAAGCTGGATATACCAAATTATTTGCATATTTTTGAAATGTTTCATAAAAATCAAAACAAAATAGTGACAGGTACTGCGGCAGAAGCAGATTAAGAAATCGCTTGGCACACCAGCATCCTGTGTCAGAGTGATGGTTTGAGTCCTGACTCCTGTGCTTTCCATCCAACTTCCTGCTAAAGCTCCCGGGAAGGCAGTGTGTGGTTTAAGTCCTTGTGTCCACTCCACCCACAAAGGGAAGGAGTTCCTGGTTCCTGGCTTCAGCTTAGCTCAGCACTGGCCTGGCCCAGCCCTGGTTGTTTTATGCATTTAGGGTGTGAACCAGTGGATAGAAGATATTCTCTCTTTCTCTGTCTGCCTTTTAAATAAGTAAAGCTTTAAGAAAATAAAATTAAAATAAAATTAATACATAGAGCATGGGTTGAGTGTGACAATTTTTTAAAGATTTATTTATTTGAAAGGCAGAATTATAGCAAGAGAGGGAGGGAGGGAGGGAGGGAGAGAGAGAGAGAGAGAGAATCTTATATCCACTGGTCCACACCCTGGATGGCTGCAACAGCCACTGCTGTGCCAGGTAGAAACTGGGAGCCAGCAGCACCTTTTGAATGTCCCACATGGGTGCAGGGGCCCAAGGACTTAGACCATTTTCCACTACTTTCCCAGGCTCATTAGCGGGGAGCTGGGTCAGAAGTGGAGCAACTGTGATAAGAACCTTCACCTGGGGCCAGTGCTGTGGCACAGTGGGTTAAAGCCCTGGCCTGGGGTGCAGGCATCCCATATGAGCACTGGTTCTGGTCCCGGCTGCTCCTCTTCTGATCCAGCTCTCTGTTATGGCCTGGAAAGGCAGTGGAGGATGGGCCAAATCCTTGGGCCCCTGCACCCACGTGGGAGACCTGGAAGAAGCTTCTGGCTCCTGGCTTCGGATTGGTGCAGCTCTGGCCATTGTGGGCATCTGAGGAGTGAACCAGCAGATGGAAGACTCTCTCTGTCTCTACGTTTCTCTGTAACTCTGACTTTCAAATAAATGAAATAAATCTTAAAAAAAAGAAACAAAAAATAAAAACAAAAAACAATAAAAACAAAAACAAAAGAACCTGCATCCATATGGGTTGTTGGCATCTCAGGCCTTGGCTTGACCCACTTCCCCACAATGCTGCATAACCCCACCCTGCCCCGTCCCCACCCCTCACCTTGCAGCTTGACAGGTTTTGAGAACTTTGAATTGTTTGGTGTCTTCCAGATCATGAGGTTTGTGTGAGAGAAGCTTTGTGCTGTGCAGAATGATGAAACTAAAGACATGGGCAGGAAGTCCGGAGGGGAAGGCCCTCTGCAGAGTGTTACACACCTGGAGTTGCCCTAAGTCATTTATGCTCTTGTTCTCTTTAAATCCTTGGTGGTGAACATAGTACCCAGTAAGGGAGAAGGTACTTAGCAAATGCTTAATGAGTGAATAGAGACAAGAAAGGAACATATTATTAAAACATCTATTTAAAATTAAATTCAAGTGATAGTTAACATTTCTGTTAAGGAATGTGAAGGGATTTGTTCCGGAGTTCATTTTGTCAGATTTCCTAACATCTTTATAAAATACTGAAATGCATTTTAAAAACCTTTCTTTTCAGTATTTTGAAATGTTGAGGTTATTCTGCATTTAGATGATGAGTTTTTAAATTTCAATTGATCTTTATAGTCTCCTTTGTTGTTCTTCACCTGACTGAGCAGGTAGTCTGGGTATTGTTCCTGAAACTAACAAAGATACTCAAACTCTTCAGAGGTGGGTAAGTATTGTAGTTACCCTTCCCTCTATTTCTCCACAGACTGGTTTCTTTGAGTTTCCCAGAGCCACAAGACAGGAAGCTTTTTCTTTCATGTTTTCTTACTTAATTTAGTGGAAAGAGTTATTTTTTAATATCCTTGAAAAGGGTAAACCGTGTTTTCTATTTTTCTCTCTTTCCCATAATATCAACTTCCTTCACTTGAGCTTAGCCAAAAGGCTGAGAAGCATCCTTCTAGGACTGATAATATACATCCTAGGTAGAGCTCTCTCAGAAGGCCATGGTATTTATCCATGGATATTATGGGTATCTTTCAGATGTTTTTTATTTGGGGATATAAATGAGAACTATGTCAGGGGATCCCTCTGCATGCCTGGCATGTGGAGATCCATCAGGTTTTCTAAATCAAGGCCACATATACTATAAGACATTAAACTATAGAAGACTCTGAGGGTATTTTGGTTAATCTATCATAGATGAGAGAAGTGAGGCATAGAGAACTTCAGAGGGTTCTTAACAATGATACAACTAGTTAATGACGGAATTCATGTTCCTTTTCAGTCTAGAGATTTTTCCTTTATACCTTACTTCTCAGTTTTTGAGGGTTGATCACTGTTTATTTTTAAAAATCAAAAATAGCACCAGCACAGTCCTGAGCTTTATGCCCTTAAGTTTCATTACATCAACATATGATGTTCAGCTGCTTGGTGTCCTGTAGAACCGCTTATAACCCCCTGCTTGTGGTAACTGAAGTAGTGGAGAATGGGGGAGATTGTGTCAGGGCACTTTGCAGATCCTCGATGAATGTGTGTTTTTTCCTTACCAGATGCATTTCACTGGTCACAGCCAGCAGGTGAATCCAGCAAATCATTCACAGGTCACAGCATTTGTCCTCCTGGGGCTCTCTCAGGTATGGGAGCTGCGGTGCTTCTTCTTCATTGTCTTCTGTGCTGTATATCTTGTGACTGTAACTGGAAATCTTCTTATTGTGGCCATCGTGACCTCTGACCCACGTCTGCACACAACCATGTATTTTCTCTTAGGTAATCTTTCTTTCCTGGACTTTTGCTACTCTTCCACCATGGTGCCCAGGATGCTGGTTGACTTGCTCTCGGGCAGCCCCAGCATTTCCTTTGATGCCTGCCTGACTCAGCTCTTTTTCTTCCACTTCATTGGTGGCATCAAGATCTTCCTGCTGACCGTCATGGCATATGACCGCTATGTTGCCATTTCCCTACCACTGCGCTACACATTCATTATGAATCAGACAGTCTGTGGGCTCCTCATGGCAGCCTCCTGGGTGGGAGGCTTCATCCACTCCATTGTACAGGTTGTATTGACTATCCAGCTGCCATTCTGTGGGCCCGACAAGCTGGACAACTTTTATTGTGATGTGCCTCAGTTAATCAAATTGGCCTGCACAGATACTTTCATCTTAGAGCTTCTAATGGTGTCTAACAATGGCTTGGTGACCCTGATGTGTTTCCTGGTGTTGCTGGGATCCTACACAGCACTGCTGGTCATGCTCCGAAGCCACTCACGGGAGGATCGTAGCAAGGCGCTGTCAACCTGCGCCTCTCACATTGCCGTGGTCACCTTAATCTTTGTGCCCTGCATATACATCTATGCAAGGCCTTTTCGGACATTCTCCATGGACAAAGCAATCTCTGTGCTGTATACAATGGTTACCCCCATGCTGAATCCTGCCATCTACACCCTGAGAAACAAGGAAGTGATCATGGCCATGAAGAAGCTGTGGAGGAGGCAGAAGGACTTTCTCGGTCCCCTAGAGCATTGACCCCAAGCTGGAATGTGGGACGAGTGTCCAGAACTGCTCCCAAGTGCCTGCTGGAGAAAAAGTTTTGAGTGCGGCATAAAAGTAGTCTTTGGCTCACAGAGCACCTTCCCAGGTGAGTATTCTGTTGGCCAAGCTGAGAAAGTTCCAACTGCAGAATGCATAAAGGTGGTAAACTTAGGGTTTCTTTTCTGATATCACTTCTTGGACACAAAATACATTTGAAGAGCTCAACACATTTTTTAAATTTCCCAGAAAGAGGAGGGATCCAAATGTTACAATAAGTGTAGGATGCTGATTGAATGTTTGTCAGTGAAGAAAAACAAAATTACGTTGTGCTAATAACTTATTTTTGTCAGTTTCTTAATGATTACCACTGTTGCTATCGTTAGTGTCAGCACCACCTTCATTGCCATGATTATATAAGTAGCATTTGGTAAGAGTTTACTATGTTCCAGGCATTGTACCAATTATTTTATATTTACTATTTATTTTAATTGTATCATTATTTTTATAAGGCATATATCACCCTCATTTTGGAATGAGTCATTTGTAAGTTTCATACATTAAATTACCTACTAATGCAACCCAGGTGTATACAAGTTTGGAACTCAAGTTACAGATGATATAAAAACTTGCTCTTGCTTCTAGGGTTTAACGTGTCTTTGTGAGTTTATGTCAGTTTAGAGTGACGTCATGGATAGGGTTGGCATGCTCAGTTGGGCCAGACCGAGTGCTGAGTCAGGAAGTCTGCTTACTGGAGTAAGAGGGATGGAGTAGAAGATTCATGGAGAACTGAACAAAGAATGAGGAATTAGGAAAGGTGGGATAGAGAGTCCAGGGGGAGTGTTCTTGAGGGAACGGATGCTTGGAAGATTTGTATGTGGGATTTTTTTTTAAACTACATACTTGCTTAGAAACTCTAAAGATTTCATTATTATTATTATTTTAGAGATAGAATTAGACAGTGAGAGAGAGAGACAAAAAGGTCTTCCTTCCGTTGGTTCACCCCCCAAATGGCTGCTGTGGCTGGAGCTACGCCGATCCGAAGCCAGGAGCCAGGTGCCTCTTCCCTTGTCTTCCATGCTGATGTAGGCACCCAAGCACTTGGGCCATCCTCCACTGCCCTCCCGTGCCACAGCAGAGAGATGAACTGGAAGAGGAGCGGCCAGGACTAGAACCTGGTGCCCATATGGGATGCTGGTGCCACAGGCGGAGGATTAATCTAGTGAGCCACGGTGCTGGCTCCCAGAAAACTCTATTTTTTAAATTCAGCTATCTTTTATTCTGTTCAGAGCGAGTTTACCGCTTTGAAGGCCGCAACTGCCAGGGCTGGGCCAGGCCGAGGTTAGGAGCTAGGAACTTTATTTGTGTTTCCTCGTGGGTGGCAGGGACTCAAATACTTGGGCCATCCTCTACTGCATTCCCAGGCACATCAACAGAGAGATGAAGCAGCCCTCCTATATGGAATGCCAACAGAGCAGTATGTTTTGGTTTATACATCAAAAACAGCTTATATATGAATCAATAAATATGAAGTTTAATACCTAGTGATACTTTATATATATGCATATGTGTGTGTGACTGCGTGTTGAACACGTAAAACAAAATATAGCTGTGTGTGAACTAAAAAATAAATATGAAGTTTAATATATAATGATACTAGAGTTTGTGTTGTGGCATAGTGGGTAAAGCCATCCTATATGGACACTGGTTTGAGACCTGGCTGCTCCACTTCCAGTCCAGCTCCCTGCTAATGCAGCTAGGAAAGCATCAGAAAACTGCCCAAGTCCTTGGGCCCCTGCACCCATGTAGGAGACCTGGAAGAAGCTCCTGGCTCCTGGCTTCCAGTTGGCCCAGCTCCAGCCATTGTGGCCATTTGGGGAGTGAACCAGCAGATGGAAGACCACTCTTTGTGTCTATCCCTCTCTTACTCTCTCTGTAAGTCTACCTTTCAAATAAATAAATAATCCTCTAAAAAAATCTGATGATACTATACATATATGCATTTATGTATATAGATATAGATACATACAGTATTGAACATGTAGAAACCAAAAACATAACTGTGTGGGGTACAGAAAAAACAAGAATACCTAATCCAATCTCAATCATTGAGAAGAATTTTAATGTGCCTTTCTTGGAAATTTATAAGCTAAGCAGACAAAAGAGATACATGCATACCTGTAATTACAAAATTGTTTTTATCACTCATTATATGTTTTGTTTTTACCTCTGTGGGAGTAATAAATTAATTTTTAGAAATTAATAAATATTGAATATTTTAAAATGGAGACCAACTGTAGATAGTTTATAGAGAATTAGAAATGATAAATATAACAATCCAGGAATTCCCACAATTGAAAGATCTGACTTCTAATATTTTAAGTGTGCTAGCTTGTTAACAAAATATAATTGTTCCTCACACATTTTTTCTGTGAAAATATCCCCTTAATCAAGATGAATTTTGCAATAAATCTAATTTTTTGCATAATCTTGGTTTAAGACTCTTTTTTTAATGATTTATTTATTTGAAAGTCAGAGTTACAGAGAGAAAGAAAGAGAGGCAGAAGAGAAGTCTTCCATCTGCTGGTTCACTCCCCAATTTGCTGTAATGGCTGGAGCTGCGCCAATCCGAAGTCAGGAGCCAGGAGCCAGGGGCTTCCTCCAGGTCTTCCCACGTAGGTGCAGGTGCCCAAGGACTTGGGTCATCTTCTACTGCTTTCCCAGGCAATAGCAGAGAGCTGGATTGGAAGTGGAGCATTTGGGACTCGAACCAGTGCCCATAGGGATGCTGTCACTGCAGGCAGTAGCTTTACCCACTGTGCCACAGTGCCGGCCCCTGGTTTAAGAAGTCTTACAAGGATTTCCCCAGGTGTTGTGAATGTGGAGTTCAATACAAATATACAATTTAAAAATAAGATTTAGGTTTCTCATGAAGTGACCAGATAGTATGAATTGTTTAAATTTTTCATAACAGTCTACTGATCAAGTAGGCTGACATTACATGAAAATATTATTGAAGATTATGAAAAATATAAAATTGTGTTAAGCTAATTTGAAATTAATTTTGAAAAACCTTTTATAATGGTAGTGACTATGTTCAGAGGTATGTCTGCTTAAACATAACTTATATAGTGTTATTTGACTTTAGGACCCCAGAATAATACTGAATTAGATTAATTTATGGATTATTTCTATGTAAGATACAATACTAAAATTTTGGTGAGCCGTTTTTGCTTATTGTTTTCATATTATGAGATTCCATTTCTTTTAATTGTATTGCTGGACACGTTCATTTGGCACTTTAAGAAGGTACAAAAATGGTACATGGTTATTTTGGTAATGGTATTATGGTAACAGTATGTGGTCATTTTAAAGTGTGCCAATTCCTTACCTCTCAGTTTTGTTTGTGAGAGGGAAGTTAGATATTTGGTTAGATATGAATGTTAAAGCTCTCCTGAGAGCAGTGATTTCAGAAAGACTAAAGGTGAGTGCAAAGAATTGGGATGTGTTTTTTCACTGGAAAAAGGGAATAGTTTTTTCTTAAAGCCAAGAGTATGATTATCCAGAAAAATTTTTTTTAATCAAGATATAAGTGGATGTGCTATTTGTGTAACTGAGACCCTACCTGGGATATCATATTTGGAAACTACTCTTACTAAATCAGACATCAGAAGCCCACCATGAAGAGACAGTGTTGTATATCTTGTATGGAATGGATGTATTGAAAGCCTTCCTAGGAAACTGGACTGACTATGCTCCATGGCTTACAGTCTCTGCCTCACAGGTGGTAAGGAATATCACCTCCTTGAGGCCAAGCACTTTGACAGATATTGAGGAACTCGGGGATGGAGGAATTCATTCACATCTGTGGGTGCACAGAAAAATCTAGAGGAAAGAAACTTTTGTGCTTGGTTTCCTAGACTCAGATTAGAAGAGAAAATTTAGCAGCATTCCAAAATATTCTACAGATAGATCAGTAGAAATACTATGGGGAGGGTGAAAATGGTTATAATCCTTTTGGGGACACATTTGGCAACTCCTAGGAAAGTTCCTATGGTCTGATCTTCAGGCTCAGTAATTCCACTTATATGAGTTTACCATGAAGACAACCTCCAACATGGGAAAATACGTATGTACAAATACATTCACTGAAGTGCTATTTCTTTTTTTTTTTTTTTTTGACAGAGTGGACAGTGAGAGAGAGAAAGGTCTTCCTTTTTGCCCTTGGTTCACCCTCCAATGGCCTCCGCAGCCAGCGCGCTGCAGCCGGCGCATCGCGCTGATCCGATGGCAGGAGCCAGGTACTTATCCTGGTCTCCCATGGGGTGCAGGGCCGAAGGACTTGGGCCATCCTCCACTGCACTCCCTGGCCACAGCAGAGAGCTGGCCTGGAAGAGGGGCAACCGGGACAGAATCCGGCGCCCCGACCGGGACTAGAACCCGGTGTGCTGGCGCCGCAAGGTGGAGGATTAGCCTAGTGAGCTGTGGCGCCGGCCCTGAAGTGCTATTTCTAACTGCACGATTTAAAACAATATAAATAAGGCAGTCCCCTCAAGACAAATATCATATGTTTTCCCTGATTTGTGGTAAGTAACACACAGAAGACAGAAAATGTAATATATATGAATGAAATTGACGATTTGAGACTTGGTTATTATTTATAGCCCTCATCTATATTCTTGAGGAACAGTGGTTTTTCTACTAACTACTTATTGGATTCTTTATTTATTGGAGGGTTAAGCCTGTGATTATAAAGTAAATTGAAAGCATGGCATTGTAAAAATTAAAAGAAAAATAAGAAAGAAAAGTAGAGGAAAAGTGGGATTAAGGTAGGAGGGAGGGTAGGGTGGGAAGTAACATTATACTCTTAAAACTGTATATATGAAATACATGAAATTTTCTCCCTTTATACAAATTTATTAAACAATTCCCAAATAGGGGAAATGTTAACCATGATGCATTCACACACAGGATTCCTCCTCAGTTTTATATCATAACCTGGAAATCTCTATATACCCTGAGTTCTTTCCAGCATGTATTCATAAGGGAAACCAAGAATGTAAAAGAGATTCCATAGCATAGTACCTTACATGTGAATGAGGATGAAAAATTAGAAAATACACATGTTGGCAAAATTCTCACAAAAGAAAACCAAAGAGGATAACATATAAACCAGTGGTATTGGTTACCTATAGGCAGTGGACGTGGAAGAGTGGAATGAATGAGAGAATGAGACAAGAGTAGAAGGAATGAGAGAGAAGAACTGCCTCTCTCAGTAGATTTCCGTGTAGGATTTTGGATGGTTCTGATTTTTAGAACCATGTTGATATGTCACAAGGTTAAAGAACACTCCCCAACTCACTTATAAAATGAACTATGCCAGGTGGAAGTGCAAGATGGAATACAAACAGAACACCCTGATTTATGAATTAGATGAGGAAGTGAAGAACTCACCTGAGTAACTTTGGGAGATGGCATTTGTTCCTGTACACTCTAAATATAAAAGCAGATTTATTGTACTACACATTTATTGTACTCTAGGGAGTAAACGTGCTTTTCATAGAAAATTATGGGTTAGAAATTTGAAAACTACTCTGAGCTTATGATAGGATTAAGCAAAAAGTAAAAACAATGATAGATTTCCTACTTTTAGAGAGAGAAATTAAAGAAAATGGCAGGTTAGAATAAACTCCATGGAATGGAGAAATATGAATGTGTTTTTTAAAATATTTATTCTATTTATAAGCAGAATTAGAGAGAGAGAGAGCCCTTCTATTCTCTGGTTCACTCCCCAAATGATTACGATGGCCAGGGCTGGGCTGGGCCGAAGTCAGGAGCCAGGACCTTCTTCTAGGTCTCACCCATGCCTGCAGGGGCCCAAGCATTTGGGCCATTCTTCGCTGCTTCCCTAGGCACATTAGCAGGGAGTTGGGTCAGAAGTGGAGCAGCAGGGACTCAAATTGGCGCCCATCCAGGATGCCAGTGCTGCAGACTGCATCTTAAAACCTGCTGCACTGCAGTGCTGGCCCTGAATCGTGGTTTTTAGAAGCTTTGGAAAAGTGGTCCTTTTGTTACATATGTATGTGTATATATATATATATATATATATGTATGTATGTATATGTTTGTATGTATGTATGTAATCATGCAGATGTGTGCTTGTGTATGTGATAGATACAGGAAGGGGTGCAATGTATGCATACATTTGCATTCCTCTGCAATTCCTGGCTGGGGCCACAAGTGGCAGCTTAACCTGCTGTACCTCAATGCCAGTCCCCTGCTATGTATTTTTTTTTTTTTGACAGGCAGAGTGGACAGTGAGAGAGAGAGAGACAGAGAGAAAGGGCTTCCTTTTCCGTTGGTTCACCCACCAATGGCCACTGTGGCCAGTGCGCTGCAGCCAGTGCACCGCGCTGATCTGAAGCCAGGAGCCAGGTGCTTCTCCTGGTCTCCCACGCGGGTGCAGGGCCCAAGCACTTGGGCCATCCTCCACTGCACTCCCGGGCCACAGCAGAGAGCTGGCCTGGAAGAGGGGCAACCGGGACAGAATCCGGCGCCCCAACCGGGACTAGAACCCGGTGTGTCGGCACTGCAGGTGGAGGATTAGCCTATTGAGCCACGGCGCTGGCCCCCTGCTATATATTTTAAACTATATGTTAAAACTTAATTGGCATTTGGGGGCGGAGCCAAGATGGCAGAATAGTGAGGGCGCGCACCGATAGTCCGGGAAAATTTAGTTTAATAAAAGGGGAGTTACGGTAGCCGCAGAAAATAGAACCAAACAAAAATTGCAGGGGAAACCCTTCTGAATGGAGCAGGCGTGAATCGGACGACCTACTGGGAGAACAAGGTCGCCCACCGCACGGAAGCAAAGTCACGGGACCCAGCCGCAGAAGCCCCAGGGTCTGCGCGACAGTGCTCCAAGGAGAGTGCACGCCACACAGAAAACAGCGGGGAGACTTGAGATGCTCAGGGCTCCGAGTCCACACATCGGTGCTGGAAGGGGAGGTGAGCTCAATAACCCGAGACATTGGTGGGGAAACGGGGGTCAGAATCTAGAGGGGGGCCGGAAAGTGCAGCAAACTCACTACCGGAAAGAAGGAAAAAAAAAAGCTTCGGGGTTTCTCTTCCCCCTAACCTTGCAAAGGTTACAAGCCTGCAAGACTTGAAGAATTCCCAAGAGACAAAGAGCAGGCCTCCTCTTTGGATTTACATATCAGTGGGGGAGAGTTAAGGAACTGAGTCACTACAATTCAGTAGCCTAGGCAACCCAGTGGGAGTCCAGAGGAGCCAAAGACTGGAAGCTAAATACCATCAATTCTGCACAGCCCTGCCCTGCAGTGTTACTTACCCCCTGAATAAATAAAATAAGTAAATAAATAAAAAGAGAGAGATTTACCACGCATAACCTGAGGGTGTCACCTTTGCACACCCTTAACCTGGAAGAACCAGGCAGAGCTCTCAGGCCCCACCCATCTCAAGCCTCCAAGGCTCCTCCAACAGCAGGCAGTCCACTTAACACGGACACAGTATAAAAAAAAAAAAAAAAAAGAAAAAAAAAAGCGCACAGTGACGCAAGAAGAATTAACTATGCCGAGTAACAAACACAGAAATAGAGGGAGCAAGATCAACGAAGACACTATGATGCCTCCAAATAAGCAAAACACCCCAAGCCAAGAGTATGAAGATGATGAGATAGAAGAAATGCAAGATACGGATTTCAAAAAATTTATGATAAGAACATTTAGAAGTTTTCAAAAGCAAATCCTTGAACTACAGAAATCCTTAATGGACAAGATTGAAAATCTTTCTCGTGAAAATGAAATTTTAAGGAAGAGTCAAAATGAAACTCAGAAACTAGTAGAACAGGAAAGTGTAATAGTCAAGAGAAATCAAAATGAAATGAAGAGCTCAATAGATCAAATGACAAACACATTAGAAAGCCTTAAAAACAGAATGGGTGAAGCAGAAGAGAGAATATCGGACTTAGAAGATAGAGCACAGGAAAACATACAGTCAAACCAAAGAAAAGAAGAGGAAATTAGAAACCTAAAAAATATTGTTGGGAATCTACAGGATACTATTAAAAAAACCAACATTCGAGTTCTAGGAGTTCCTGAAGGCATGGAGAGAGAGAAAGGATTGGAAGGCCTTTTTAGTGAGATACTAGCAGAGAACTTTCCAGGTTTGGAGAAGGACAGAGATATCCTAGTACAGGAAGTTCATAGAACCCCCAATAAACATGACCAAAAGAGATCCTCACCACGACACGTGGTAATTAAACTTACCACAGTGAAACATAAAGAAAAGATCCTAAAATGTGCAAGAGAGAAACGTCAGATTACTCTCAGAGGATCTCCAATCAGACTCACAGCTGACTTCTCATCAGAAACCCTACAAGCTAGGAGGGAATGGCGAGACATAGCACAGGTGCTAAGAGAGAAAAATTGCCAGCCCAGAATATTATATCCTGCCAAGCTCTCATTTGTGAATGAAGGTGAAATAAAGACCTTTCATAGCAAACAGAAATTGAAAGACTTTGTGGCCACTCGTCCGGCCCTGCAAAAGATACTTAAAGATGTGCTACACTCAGAAACACAGAAACACGGCCATCAATATGAAAGAAGGGAAAGGAAGAACACTACCAGTAAAAGAGCATGGGAAGCTCAAAGCATATACTAGAAAATATTTCCGGGAAAATGGCAGGGCAAAGTCACTACGTATCAATTGTCACATTGAACATTAATGGTCTGAATTCTTCAGTTAAAAGACACCGTTTAGCTGACTGGCTCACAGAACACAACCCAACTATTTGTTGCCTACAAGAAACACATCTCTCTAACAAAGAGGCATGCAGACTGAAAGTGAAAGGTTGGAAAAAGATATTCCATGCCAACAGAAACCAAAAAAAAGCAGGTGTAGCCATATTAATATCAGACAAAATAAACTTTAATACAAAAACTGTTAAGAGAGACAAAGAGGGACACTATATAATGATTAAGGGTTCAATTCAACAGGAAGATGTAACTATTATAAATGTATATGCACCTAATTACAGGGCACCGGTCTATTTAAAAGATATGTTAAGGGACTTAAAGGGAGATTTAGATTCCAATACAATAGTACTGGGGGACTTCAATACTCCACTCTCAGAAATAGACAGATCATCCGGACAGAAGATCAACAAGGAAACAGCAGATTTAATTGACACTATTGCCCAAATGGATCTAACAGATATCTACAGAACTTTCAACCCTACATCTACAGACTTCACATTCTTCTCAGCAGCGCATGGAACCTTCTCTAGGATTGATCACATACTAGGACATAAAGCAAATCTCAGCAAATTTAAAAGAATTAGAATCATACCATGCAGCTTCTCAGACCACAGCGGGATGAAGCTGGAAATTAGCAACTCAGGAAACCCCAGAAAGTATGCAAACACATGGAGAGTGAACAACATGCTCCTGAATGAACACTGGGTCATTCAAGAAATCAAAAGAGAAATCAAAAACTTTCTGGAAGTAAATGAAGACAACAACACAACATATCAAAACTTATGGGATACAGCAAAAGCAGTATTGAGAGGCAAATTTATAGCAATAGGTGCCTATATCAAGAAATTGGAAAGGTACCAAATAAATGAGCTTTCAGCGCACCTCAAGGACCTAGAAAAACTGCAGCAAACCAAACCCAAATCTAGTAGGAGAAGAGAAATAATTAAAACCAGAGAAGAAATTAACAGGATTGAATCCAAAAAAACATTACAAAAAATCAGCCAAGCGAGAAGCTGGTTTTTTGAAAAAATAAACAAAATTGACACCCCATTGGCCCAACTAACTAAAAAAAGAAGAGAAAAGACCCAAATCAATAAAATCAGAGATGAAAAAGGAAACGTAACAACAGACACCACAGAAATAAAAAGAATCATCAGAAATTACTACAAGGACCTGTATGCCAGCAAACAGGAAAACCTATCAGAAATGGATAGATTCCTGGACACATGCAATCTACCAAAATTGAACCAGGAAGACATCGAAAACCTAAATAGACCCATAACTGAAACAGAAATTGAAACAGTAATAAAGGCCCTCCCAACAAAGAAAAGCCCAGGACCAGATGGATTCACTGCTGAATTCTACCAGACATTTAAAGAAGAACTAATCCCATTTCTTCTCAAACTATTCAGAACAATCGAAGAAGAGGGAATCCTCCCAAATTCTTTCTATGAAGCCAGCATCACCTTAATCCCTAAGCCAGAGAAAGATGCAGCACTGAAAGAAAATTACAGACCAATATCCCTGATGAACATAGATGCAAAAATCCTCAATAAAATTCTGGCCAACAGAATACAACAACACATCAGGAAAATCATCCACCCAGACCAAGTGGGATTCATCCCTGGTATGCAGGGATGGTTCAACATTCGCAAATCAATCAATGTGATTCACCACATTAACAGACTGCAGAAGAAAAACCATATGATTATCTCAATTGATGCAGAGAAAGCATTTGATAAAATTCAACACCCTTTCATGATGAAAACTCTAAGCAAATTGGGTATAGAAGGAACATTCCTCAATATAATCAAAGCAATTTATAAAAAACCCACAGCCAGCATCCTATTGAATGGGGAAAAGTTGGAAGCATTTCCACTGAAATCTGGCACCAGGCAGGGATGCCCACTCTCACCACTGCTATTTAACATAGTTCTGGAAGTTTTAGCCAGAGCCATCAGACAAGAAAAAGAAATCAAAGGAATACAAATCAAGAAGGAAGAAGTCAAACTATCCCTCTTTGCAGACGATATGATTCTGTACTTAGAGGATCCAAAGAACTCTACTAAGAGACTATTGGAACTCATAGAGGAGTTTGGCAAAGTGGCAGGATATAAAATCAATGCACAAAAATCAACAGCCTTTGTATACACAAGTAATGCCATGACTGAGAAAGAGCTGCTAAGATCAATCCCATTCACAATAGCTACAAAAACAATCAAATACCTTGGAATAAACTTAACCAAGGACGTTAAAGATCTCTACGATGAAAATTACAAAACCTTAAAGAAAGAAATAGAAGAGGATACCAAAAAATGGAAAAATCTTCCATGCTCATGGATTGGAAGAATCAACATCATCAAAATGTCCATTCTCCCAAAAGCAATTTATAGATTCAATGCAATCCCAATCAAGATACCAAAGACATTCTTCGCAGATCTAGAAAAAATGATGCTGAAATTCATATGGAGGCACAAGAGACCTCGAATAGCTAAAGCAATCTTGTACAACAAAAACAAAGCCGGAGGCATCACAATACCAGATTTCAGGACATACTACAGGGCAGTTGTAATCAAAACAGCATGGTACTGGTACAGAAACAGATGGATAGACCAATGGAACAGAATTGAAACACCAGAAATCAACCCAAACATCTACAGCCAACTTATATTTGATCAAGGATCTAAAACTAATTCCTGGAGCAAGGACAGTCTATTCAATAAATGGTGCTGGGAAAACTGGATTTCCACGTGCAGAAGCATGAAGCAAGACCCCTACCTTACACCTTACACAAAAATCCACTCAACGTGGATTAAAGACCTAAATCTACGTCCTGACACCATTAAGTTATTAGAGAACATTGGAGAAACCCTTCAAGATATTGGCACAGGCAAAGAATTTCTGGAAAAGACCCGGGAGGCACAGACAGTCAAAGCCAAAATCAACTATTGGGATTGCATCAAATTGAGAAGTTTCTTTACTGCAAAAGAAACAGTCAGGAGAGTGAAGAGACAACCGACAGAATGGGAAAAAATATTTGCAAACTATGCAACAGATAAAGGGTTAATAACCAGAATCTACAAAGAGATCAAGAAACTCCACAAAAACAAAACCAACAACCCACTTAAGAGATGGGCCAAGGACTTCAATAGACATTTTTCAAAAGAGGAAATCCAAATGGCCAACAGGCACATGAAAAAATGTTCAAGGTCACTAGCAATCAGGGAAATGCAAATCAAAAGCACAATGAGGTTTCACCTCACCCCGGTTAGAATGGCTCACATACAGAAATCTACCAACAACAGATGCTGGCGAGGATGTGGGGAAAAAGGGACACTAACCCACTGTTGGTGGGAATGCAAACTGGTTAAGCCACTATGGAAATCAGTCTGGAGATTCCTCAGAAACCTGAATATAACCCTACCGTTCGACCCAGCCATCCCACTCCTTGGAATTTACCCAAAGGAGTTTAAATTGATAAAGAAAAAAGCGGTCTGCACCCTAATGTTTATTGCAGCACAATTCACAATAGCCAAGACCTGGAACCAACCTAAATGCCCATCAATGGTAGACTGGATAAAGAAATTATGGGATATGTATTCTTTAGAATACTATACCGCAGTAAGAAACAACGAAATCCAGTCATTTGCAACAAAATGGAGGAATCTGGAACACATCATGCTGAGTGAAGTAAGCCAGTCCCAAAGGGACAAATACCATATGTTCTCCCTGATCGGTGACAACTGACTGAACACCAAAAAGGAAACCTCCTGAAGTGAAATGGACACTATGAGAAATGGTGACTTGATCAGCATAGCCCTGACTGCTAATGGACAACTTAATACATTATCCCTCATAGTATTTTTTTTTTGTCTGTTCTACTTAATATGACTGGTTTAATTCTGTAATTATCACACAGTTATTCTTAAGTGTTGAAAATTAACTGAAATGTGATCCCTGTTAAACATAAAAGTGGGAATAAGAGAGGGAAGA